GATATGACTCACCAAATTCAACTGATCCTTCATCAAAAATAAAACCTGAAGAAAAACACCAATGATGCTATTCATGATACTTTGAACACAGCACTTTCACTATCATTTATTTTCTCCTTTAGATTAGAGCAATGCATATTAAAGGTAACTAATCGAACTTCACATCACTTCAAATTTCTTAAAAAATTTCCGGTCGGACATAAAATTTTTAGGAAAACAATAGCTGCTACTTATGTTTATATTCTCTGAACACACTTCAACTGCTTTTGATGATGTTGCTTTGAGGCAATTCATGGTGAATTTCTCAAAACCAGATGATTTTTAGTCGCTGCTAATTTCCTATCGGATGGCTGCTCAGATGAGAAACTGACAGCCATGTCATAGAATAGTAGCCGCTTTCTTAATCCAGAATGTAAGAAATCCAGAAAGAGGGAGCAAGCTGGAGTGCAGGAAGCCCTTCAAAAACCTGAAAAACAGACAAATAAACAGCATTATACAAGGCATGGCGACAGTTCCATGAGGTGACTTGTGACTGTTTAGCTCTTAGATTTTATTAATACTTGACGTGCAAATTTTATCCATTGAAAAAAAAAAAAATACCTAGATCTCCAGCTGTTTCATTTAAGTAGAATGAAATTTTAAAATAATCATAAAATTGCAGTTCTTTCAAAAACCATAAATCGGTGTAACTTCTCAATTGTTGATACCAGAGATTTTTTCCAGAACTCTCTTGAAACTGAGGATTTTAATTTTTTGCCCTGTCTAATGTAGAAAACAGGTACCTAAGTGAGGTACAGGTAAGAGGAACACTTACCAAAACCGAGTTGCCAACAATTTATTTTCAACCAGTTTCAGCAAATATTTAAACTGAGAAAAAGCAGGCATCTGAAATCGGACTTTAATTATCTTCTTTTCTCCCCCTCCAATCAAACACAACAATTGAAATTGTTACATCATTAACACATATCTCTTTGAAAATTGACCTTACAAGTTCCCAAAATTTAGGTTAGTGCAATGTAACATGATTTTTCTCATTTATTGTGCTCTTGGAAAAAACAAACATACTGTTTACCGCACTCTAGTTCATTTGTGTAATAATGCCCTAGCATTCAGTACAAGTAAAACGGAGCCTGAGAGACGATAAACTGGCTCGCTATGAACGCTTGGATACCTTCATATCTTGGTCCTTGCACGCAGTTTAATGAAATGCTATTCCGATGTGATGATTGGTCATGCTTAATTTTTACGGCAATCTACATTGCCGTGGTGGTAGTAAATAATCAAGGGACAAAGAGACGGAGGCAGGGCTCACGAGAACATCATTTCTCCTTAATCCCTACTAGCTATTCTAACATGCAGAAGCTCAGTTTTAATAAAAGTACAATGGGTCAGTTGTATATGTCACAGAAACTTATGATACTTAGTTGCAGGTCCTTTTCGCTGACAGTGCTAAGTCACGCGAGTGACATACTGAATATTCAAGAGGTATCGTTTTACATTCACTGAGAGAATTAGAAGAGGTTATGTGTTGGATCAACCTAATGAAAACGTACCAGGTAGAGTGGGTAATAATAATAGAAAACGGGACATATCATCACTCCTAGGACAAATGAACGCAACTTTGTATTGTACTGAGCCATAATGTTCATATAACTTGGTGCGTACTTGCAGGGTTTGTGTGAAAATGGAGGTATGACCTAATAATAAAGAAGCGATGAGATGTTTTAATAGCGAGATGAGCTTGGCCCAACTTATTGAGTGGGACATTGGTCAAATCGGGACGAAGGTCTAAGTTTGTGCACCTTTCTGCCGTGATGGCGAAGAGAGCCATAAGCGCATTTCTGCATGAGCCATGATTAGCACATGATTTTATTTGTCGTGAGGTTCATCCCAGCCTGCACTTATCGCTCTCTTCGCTATCACTGCAGTGTTGTCTCATGAGAGTAATAGAGACTTCCAACTTGTGAGACAAAAGTATTTCATGGTTTCCAGTGAGTCCTAAACGATACCTGCCCTCTCCATGTTTTCCAGGACGACCTTTCTTCTCATAATAATGACACTGTGACAGGTATGTCATTTCATGTGAGGAAGTGAGAACAGAAATTTCGTTGCTGGAGGGAGGAAGATCTCAGTTGATTTAGATCATTAATTTTGGGTAAGGTCTGTCGATCTACATTTCCTGAATGATATACTAACAAAATTTAAGTACTTACATTTATTTTTGAGGCTGCATTTGAAGAGAGACTGGAAAAATAGACCGACATCGTCTCTGGCTGTAACAACGAGGTAACGGCTAACGGCTCCTTCAAGTTGCATCCTGAAAATTCCTCAATGTTGTACGCGGAACGCGGACGCGGATCATCGGACCAAAAGGGAATTTCGTTCCCGGAACACGAACTGAACTGAACCAACTGAACTGAGAACTCGTGATAACAATTCGTAAACAAATCATATCACAATTTTCCACCACTTCACTACCAGACCACTACAGTTTTCACACTCTAGTTTTCACGAAGGAAATATGAGAATGAGAAAGAAATGGTTTCGTGTATCACCTCAAATGCACGTTTGGGGCTTTCCGGAGTTATTTACCGAGGCTTTAAGGCGTTACCAGTCGAAGTGTTACACTTCGTTTCCTGAATACATTTCTTCCTATTATCAGTGTGAACAGCTAGCAAATCCCCACGGAATTTTATTATTACAGTTCTTCGTATGAATTCAAACGGAAATGTCTACGATTGGCAATTGAAACATCCTGCACCTGCTGCCAGTGAGTAATTTGCCATGTGAATCATTTCTCTTTTTTTCTTCTGGAGGGCTGTGACAGCTGACATTATATTGACTCTTCGTACTTAGATTTGCAGGGACTTCAATTTTCATGCAATTGGTGGATAGTACCTAATCCCTCAATTAATTCCCTAACTTGATACCTGATTTTACTTACAATGAGGAGTAATGTCAGGAAAGAATAATCTAAGCGTATATGCATAGATAGTCTGCGCAGAGTTTAGGTACGTGTCGAAAGAGAACCAACATTTCTGGCTTATTTCAGACATAACATTACCTGCAATTAATTTCTTCACGCAGGATAGGTGCTTCTGTCAATGCCCCAATGTACTTGGCCATGTTTTGATCAATGTCATCCACTTATTCTACACGGTTATCTCCAATATTAGTCTCAGCAAGCAGTGGGCAAATCTTCAGAAGAGAAACGTTGATAATTCTATTTTATCATGATTTGACGCTCAACAAAATCTGATTTTGTGGGTGGTTGTGCCGGTGCATGAGTAAATTTGTTACCTACTGTTACATGTGTATTATGCTTCCAAATCTGGTTTTGATGGCCTCTAAAAAGATGAGGAGCTGACAACAATGTGTATATCTGCATGTATCAGTGGTGCGAGCGCGAGCTGACATTTTGTATCTCACTGGCTTTTTCCCTGATTGTGAGTTACCTTGGAATCCTCAAGTGTGGCAAAAAGAGATGAGGTAATCAGCATTTTGTCTCTTTCCTCTCTGTCGCATGGGTTCAAGGGTCAGCAATCTAAAGCGCAAATGAGAAGCAACACTTCAGCTCACACCACTGTATTTTGTGTTCTGTCTCTGTTTTGAGAAGAAACTGTGTTTGAAGAGAGTTAAATAGATGAAGCAACTAGGAGTTTTTCCAGCTGATGATTTAACACTGAAGAAGCATAACATATACAGGGTGGTGATTAGAAACATTCTTAACACCAACCTGGAAAGCCCCCTCCCCCCTTCTAACTTTGTACTTAGTTGAGGTAAAAATTTAAACGTTCGGGGCCTTTCCTTAGTCAAGGGCCCCCTAACTATGCAGGGGGACTCCTTGGGGGCAACAGACCCCAACATTTTGCGTCCAAATGGTAAAAGCACCCTTATGTATGATAACGCGTTCAAATGAACATTAAAAAAAAAAAAAAAAAAAAAAAAAAAAAAAAAAAAAAAAAAATTATTATTTTTCGTTAGGTAAAGAACAAGTAATGATGCTTTAATGATTAATTAATCTTAAAGTAATACAATTTCTTTAAAATTTACTTCCTCCTTAGGTAATGAAAACGTAATAATTATTTAAACATTATTTAATCTCAAAGTAATAAAATATCTCTAACATTTACTTGTTCTTTAGGTAAAGAACAAGAAATCATTATTTAATCATTATTTAATCCTGAAGTAATAAAATATCTTGAAAAATTACTTTTCTATTAGGTAATGAACAAGTAATCGTTATTTAATTATTAATTAATGTTGAAGTAATTAAATATCTTGACCATTACTTCTTCATTACGTAATGAACAAGTAATCATTATTTAATACATATTTTCATCTTTAGGTAATAAAATAACATAATATTTACTTCTTCATTAGGTAAGGAACAAGTAATCATTAGCTAATGATTAATTCATTTTGAAGTAATAAAATAGATTAACGTTTACTTCTTCATTAAATAAAGTTTAAATAATGATTACCTAATCATTAAGTAAAGAAAAATTTCAAAAATTTTTTATTTAATGATTACCTAATCGTTAACTAATGTTTATATAATCATTAAATTGATCTAATGATTAGGTAATATTTACTCTTTCCTTACTTAATCTTGAAATCCAAATGCTACATGGGCAGTTTTCAGTGTCTGGGAAGACCCTCTATCATTCCTGAGAAAATCGTACGATTCCGTGTTTAGGCCGATTTGGCCGTTTTGTTGTAGGGTCCTTTACCTCGGTTTGATAACGACATATTTGCCTTTTTGCCGCTGGACAGTTTTTCCTAATTCGAACTTGGAAACTACTGGACCGATTTTCATCGGATTTGTTTTAAATGAAAGCTCTTAGACTGTAGATGTGCAGGTACCCTTGATTTTTCGATTTGCGCGACCGATGTTGCAAAATTTTCCTTGATTTGATAACGAAATATTTACATATTTGCCGCTGGACGAGTCATATGGTTGGGGGACCTCCAACTGATTTTCCGTTTCCCTCTCCACGTAAACCCATCCCTACCTGCCGTTAACACGTGTCACCCTTCTACTCTGGCATGGTTCCTGTGGTAGTATACCTCCCTTCCTTATGCCCTCTGACTCGGAACACCTGCTACGCATTTCGTCCGTCGCATTGCTCATAATCAGTTCTCGGTTTGTCCAGGTTTCTTATCAGTGCGTCTAGAGTTTTGCTTTCTTGATTTTTTCTTCAGTCTTTTTTACATGAAAATTACTTGATTTTGATGTGTATTTTCCAAAGAATAATTTTCGTTTTTACGGCAGCACAGGTTTTATTAATAATTTACTTTTTTACAACAGCTAATGTATTCTACCAAGAGAATCGGTGATTAATCTTCACCCTTTCGCACCGTTAAATTTTCACGAAGTGTTTTGATTTCCTTTTACAAGCGTGTTTTTTATTTTTCAAGGATGTTTCTTTTTCTAGCAGTAGGTGGTTATCATTATTAGTTTCTTATTCTTTGTTTTTGAATTTATAATTTTGCCACCAGAAAGTCCTCTAATAACTTGTAGTAGCAAAATTTGTCTCGCGAAGTGAGCAAACAGTCACTGGGTGTCCAGGGGTCTTGCCCCCGGCTAGCGGCGCAAGCGAGCGTAGCGAGCTGAAGCAGCTAGTTTGGGTTATTTCCTTTGTTGTAGCAGAGCGCTTCGTTGCTCTGTGGAAACGATATCTTCACGCATACTTAGCTTTAGGTACATCAAATTGTAAAGGTTTCTGCCAATAAAAAAAGAGAAACTAGAACATAGGATAGAGAACAAAGGATTCTTTTTCAGGTGAAAAACCGGAACACCGACTGAAGAAAATGTTATGATTATTTGCACCGCTGTTATTTCATCAAATTTAATAAGAAATGTTGACGAGATCATGGTGGCAAATGAAAGAGTAGGAGAAACTAGTTCCCTAAGGTATCTCACACTGCGCCTTGAATATAATTAAAAATTCCAAACGCGTCGCATCTCTTTACCCACTTTTTTCCTCTGTCAGACACCCTCTTTTTCATGCTTGGAGGAACAAAAACTTCAAGTGTCAGCGGTAGTCTACCACATACATTGGTTTCTTGATCATTATTCTCGGGCAAAAGGTAGTGAAGGTATTCGTGACAGAACAGTCTATTTAAACTCCTTGCAACTTCGATCTTATGGCAGACTTCTTGAAATTTGTAAATGTTAATGTAAAACAAATTAATGCTAATTTTTCATTTTAAAATTTACATAGGGTATTCTAAAAGTACTGCACGTTTTTTTCCGGGCGGACGGTAGCGGATATCAATATGCGGGTTGTGTAGAATTAATGTTCTAGTAAATATACCAATAAAACAAGACCAATCGGAGCTCTCTCAGTTATAAAATGACTATGTTACAGTGTTTTGAAAATGACATATCGAGGTAACCTCTCCGGGATTTTTGGCTTCTTTTCTGGAGAAAAAAAACAAAGAATTAAAGATTCAAGTGGTTTCATTAAATTAATTTTACAGAATCTTACCAAGATTACTAGCATTTACTCTTCCTCACTGGACGACTGGACACTAGTTTCCTTTTCAAAGTACCTTCTTTCAGTTTCCACACAACGCCGCAACTGTTCTGCCCACTTCTGCAAACATATTTTTTTCGAAATCTTCTTTCCTGAGGTTGTTCAAGAAAGGTTCAACAGCTCTTTTTATTTCGCTGACGGAGTTAAACCTCTTCCTTCTTAAGCCCTTCTTCCACGTAGGGAACAAACAAAAGTCACAGAGTGCGAAGTCCGGACTGTAGGGGGGGGCGGAAGACAGACATTCCCGTGTTTATCCATAATCTTTAGTGTACTGGGCCCCGTGGGGGCGGGCGTTGTCGTGGTGCAGGAGCCATGTCTCCTTCATCTCTGGCCGCCTCTTAGCAATGTGCTCACTTAGTGTCATCAGTACAGAGCTGTAATAGGTACTCCTTAGTAATTGTCTGGCCAAGAGGGACTAAATGTTGATACACCATCCCTCGAAAATCAAAGAGTGCAATGAACTAAAAATCCTTCAGGGGTCACCTTGTCATGTCATTTTTAAAACACCGTAACTCAGTCATTTTTTGACTTAGAGAGCTCGGATTGGTCTTGTTTTAATCGTATTTGCTGGATCATTCACTCCACTTCAACCGCATGTTGATACCTATCTGCTGCTGTTCGTCCGAAAAAAACGTGCAGTTCTTCTGGGACGACCCTCTTTGTATTAATGTGCTCATTGAAATTGTTCGACGCCACCACAACATGTTTATTCCCAACTTAACACCCATATAATTTTCAAATGAAGCACGTGCTGAATTAAAAATCTGTGGCTGAATCCGAAACCACGGATCTTTATCATGGTATTATAAAATCTCCGGTACTTTTTTCTTGTTTTTTTTTTTTTTAAAGAGAAACAGGCCAATTTTATGGCT